ATTTTGAATTTTACAGTAACCTTGTTAAAAAAGGTAAAAGAAACAAGTAAAATGGATTTTAATAATGTATTTCATTTATCCAAATATATATACAAAATGTTATCATTTCAATGTGTAACAGTCAGTATTAAAAATCATTAATGGGATATTTCATATTTCTTACACTAAGTCTTTGAAATCCAGTGTGTATTTTTCACTTATAACATATCTTAATTTGGGGGCTAAAATTTCATTGGAAATACTAGATCTGTATTTAGATTTCTTAAAATGTACAGATGAAAAGTAGATTCACATACCCAAGTTATTCAAAATAGACATCAAGGTCTTCTAATAGTAGAAACAAGTTATCAGTTTTTAAATTACAAAAATTAAAATCAAGTATGATTAAAATTCATTTCCTCAGCTGCGCTGGACACAATTCAAGCGTTTGGTAGGCCACATGTGGCTGTGGCTGCCATCAGGCAGAGCAGCACTGAACCGAAATATTCAAACCCACACGGTGTAGAATTAGTCTCTCGGGGAGCATGTTTCTTTCTAACTGGTGGCTTAATGGTGAGATTTTTTGCTTTAATCTTTTGTACTCACAGACAATAGTAAGCTTACAAAACTCATCTCTATCAGTCAGAGTACAGACTGAACAGCTTTAGAAGCATTAAAATAATCTGGGATGGTTACCTTGTAGGTTATTAATTAGAACTAGAAAGCAGGAATTTCATTTTTAACCTTCAAGCTTGTTGCCAAGAAGGTTAAACTTCGCTGTTCAAGACACTGTTGTCTTTCTGTGAGAGCGGGGTTTGTACTGTCCCCATAGGGTGAGGCCCAAGGAAACGCATCCCTCTGTGAAAACCTGTGATGGATTCAGTTATCATAGGAAACATTTCCCCAGAAAACACTGACCCAGCAGGGTCACTATGCCTTTAAAGAATAGTCTTGAAAGTAATTTTATTTAAAACCTAAGAATACCCGGGTTTGCACAATTAGGCTCAAATCTGAACCTCACTCAACTCGGACCATGTGGCAGTTGAGCTCTGGAAGTGTGCCTGGTGTGCCTTGAGGAATGAAGGTTTACTGTTATCTAATTTTTATTCATTTCCGTTTAAAAATTGAGACTCGATTCAGTTAGTGGAAAGCATTTGTATCTGTTTGAGATAATTCGAGGATATCAATCCACTCTGTCATCTGTAAATTTTATGAACTCTAAACACATCCTCATTCTGTGAGTCACTCAGAGTATTTTGAAGTGTGCCAGACACTGTGCTGAGCGCTGGAAATGTCCCAGAGACTGAGGTCGCAGTCTGTGCCCTGATGGAGCTCGCGGTATGCAGGGAGGCTCACCGTCACGAAAGCGTTTTGAGGCCCACAGCTGCGGGAGTACACAGAGCTAAGAAACCACAAGGCAGAGCTGGCTGCTGTGGGATCTACTCTCCTGCCCCTCCCCCTGCCCTCAGGCTGTGCTCATTTTCATTGGAATGCTATCAGCCTTAACTTCCCTCTCTCCAGTATCTCTCCTGCGGAGACACAGCCTTTGCTGCCTAACCATCTGCTGAATGCATTCTTCGCACCTTCCCTAGCGTCACTGTCCTCTTGCTCCAGGACTCTCTGGTTTCCCTGGTTTATTCAAGTAACCTGGCTCTGGAATTTTCTTCATCTCACTCCTCTTTCAGAGACCCAAATCCATTCCTGCCCCAGTGTTCAAGGCTCCACAAGGCACTCAGAAGGCAATTCAAAGCCCTTGGCATTGGGACGTGCCCTGCTTCTTGCCACTGCTCGATCTCAGGTACCCATCACTACAGCAAACCACAGGCACTGTCCTTCCCCGTGCTTCTGACTCCTGCTTTCCATGTGCCTTTCCTTGCTACTCTAACCTCTCTTCCAGGAGTCAGTTCAGTGACCTTCCTCCAGACCTCCCTGATCCCTTACAGTCTGTGCTGGGTGCGCCCCGTGTGCCCCATGGCAATCTCTTCCGCTCAGCATGCTGAGGCTGTTCTCACCCAGGCCTGAACCTCTGCCTTCTGGTCTGTCTTCCTCCCAGAAGGAAATTCATGTTATGGCCACAGCTGGAATATGGATGATTGGAATTTAAACATAAAAGCATATTGAATCCCATATTGACAGTGTGTAGTCCATGGCCAGAGGTCAGGCTGCCCAAATTCAGTCTATTTTCAACTTGTTTTAATTGCATCCAGGGCTTAAAAAAGGGCACATGAGGCCTCTCCAGAGGCTTTTTTCATTCTTCCATGTCCTGCTTACCCCTTCCCCACACCTGGACTTTCCCCTCCTTCTGCCCCACCACCAGTTTTCACAACATAGACTTCCCAGATTTCTACCTCATAGCCTAGCCATACTGAAGCAACAATTCCACAAACATACTTCATGCTTTATGCATCCACGCTCTGTACCGAACTGGTCCAGCCTCTTACCCACCTGGAAAAGTCTGCTTGAGTGAAGAGTATGAGACAGGTGTGGAACTATTCGGGAAGTCTTTCTTAGAACCTTCTAGGCAAAGCCAGGCATCTCTCTCTATGTGCACATACTTTGATTACAGTCAAATCAAAGTACATACACAGAGTGTGTACCCTACACACTGCCCAGGAGTTTTTGTACTTTCCTCTTGACTTGATCTTCTTCACAGCTGGGCCAACTCTGCATGTGTGTGTGTGTGTGTGTGTGTGTGTGTGTGTGTGTGTGTGTGTGTGTAATTTTTGTATCTCAGCAGTAGTGCAGTGTCTGGTACTAAAAGGCATCTAATAAACATTACTGAATTAATTGACTTAGTGAAGGATATTGGAAACAAACAGTGAATATCTGCTGTCATTTGTTCAACTTCTCCTGATCTGCTGTCTAGTTGACAAAGCACTTTGACATGCACTATATCATTCTGTCCTCACAGTAAGCCCCTGAGACACAGGAAGGAGGATGAGGAGCTGGCCCATGCGGCTATAGTGGCAGAAATGCAACAGGAGTCCAGGCCTCTAGATTCTGCTGCATACCAAATTGTAGCTATATTCAGTGTCTGTGTGGCAGTCCAGTGCATATAAAGAAAAAAAGAAAAGAGAATAAAAAATAAATCAGACTCTGGGTCTTCCATATTTGTCTAGAGTAGAGCTGCAAAATAAATCATAGATCTCATTTTGAATTTTACAGTAACCTTGTTAAAAAAGGTAAAAGAAACAAGTAAAATGGATTTTAATAATGTATTTCATTTATCCAAATATATATACAAAATGTTATCATTTCAATGTGTAACAGTCAGTATTAAAAATCATTAATGGGATATTTCATATTTCTTACACTAAGTCTTTGAAATCCAGTGTGTATTTTTCACTTATAACATATCTTAATTTGGGGGCTAAAATTTCATTGGAAATACTAGATCTGTATTTAGATTTCTTAAAATGTACAGATGAAAAGTAGATTCACATACCCAAGTTATTCAAAATAGACATCAAGGTCTTCTAATAGTAGAAACAAGTTATCAGTTTTTAAATTACAAAAATTAAAATCAAGTATGATTAAAATTCATTTCCTCAGCTGCGCTGGACACAATTCAAGCGTTTGGTAGGCCACATGTGGCTGTGGCTGCCATCAGGCAGAGCAGCACTGAACCGAAATATTCAAACCCACACGGTGTAGAATTAGTCTCTCGGGGAGCATGTTTCTTTCTAACTGGTGGCTTAATGGTGAGATTTTTTGCTTTAATCTTTTGTACTCACAGACAATAGTAAGCTTACAAAACTCATCTCTATCAGTCAGAGTACAGACTGAACAGCTTTAGAAGCATTAAAATAATCTGGGATGGTTACCTTGTAGGTTATTAATTAGAACTAGAAAGCAGGAATTTCATTTTTAACCTTCAAGCTTGTTGCCAAGAAGGTTAAACTTCGCTGTTCAAGACACTGTTGTCTTTCTGTGAGAGCGGGGTTTGTACTGTCCCCATAGGGTGAGGCCCAAGGAAACGCATCCCTCTGTGAAAACCTGTGATGGATTCAGTTATCATAGGAAACATTTCCCCAGAAAACACTGACCCAGCAGGGTCACTATGCCTTTAAAGAATAGTCTTGAAAGTAATTTTATTTAAAACCTAAGAATACCCGGGTTTGCACAATTAGGCTCAAATCTGAACCTCACTCAACTCGGACCATGTGGCAGTTGAGCTCTGGAAGTGTGCCTGGTGTGCCTTGAGGAATGAAGGTTTACTGTTATCTAATTTTTATTCATTTCCGTTTAAAAATTGAGACTCGATTCAGTTAGTGGAAAGCATTTGTATCTGTTTGAGATAATTCGAGGATATCAATCCACTCTGTCATCTGTAAATTTTATGAACTCTAAACACGTCCTCATTCTGTGAGTCACTCAGAGTATTTTGAAGTGTGCCAGACACTGTGCTGAGCGCTGGAAATGTCCCAGAGACTGAGGTCGCAGTCTGTGCCCTGATGGAGCTCGCGGTATGCAGGGAGGCTCACCGTCACGAAAGCGTTTTGAGGCCCACAGCTGCGGGAGTACACAGAGCTAAGAAACCACAAGGCAGAGCGCCTGACAGTGTGGAGGGCAGGAACCACAGCTCCTCCTGCGTCAGATACTTGGTAATCTTGCTCTTTGTGATACTAAAAGAATTCCCTATTCCAAATACTGATTTCCTGGATAACATGAGCCCAGGCCATTCACATACAGAAAAATGAACAGGAACCAACATCTGCTCTGAAAATAAGATTGTTTATTCATAATAGCATAATTTTTCCACAAGCACATCTTTGGACTCCATCTTTTCAATTCCTTACAATCAACAGGATAGACACAGTTATCCCAGACAAAGAAGTATTTCTACACTAATTCATTTTCAAGATGGAATCCTTATTCATTACCAGAGACCCTATCCAAATATAGATTAAATATAGAAATCGACTTTACATCATAAGACAAGTGGGAGGCAGTGTTGTTTCACCAATTGTGCTGAAGTTTTGATTTAAAAGTTATTCATTGATGTAAAAAAGTTACAGTACCTTTTGAATAGTTTTATGATCCTTTTTTGCCATCTCTTTCAGACTTATAATTTCATCTTCTGTAAACAAAAGGAGAGAGAGGCCAACCATGAAATTACAAGCTTATGCCCCTGTATTCAAATTGCCTGCTTCAGGGCAGGCTGTACACTGCTGGCAGGCATGGTGGACGCCAGTCCTAGCAGGACTGTGACCTTCACAACTGCCCTTGACATTCACAGCCTTCTTCCTGCTGTTCAGACGCCTGGTCAGATAGGGATTAAGAACTAAATTCAAGATCCAAGTGTGGCTGAGGGCTGAAGGCTTTTCATCAATACTAGCAGTGACATTTTCACTGTTAGTCACAGCCAATACAAAGTGCTTCAGCAGGTGGCACTGGATGACTTAGTAAGAACTACCAAAACCTGGAAAGCATTGTCATAGCACATCACAGGAGTAACAGAACTGCACTGGCAGGACTTGATTTTATCTTCAGGGGATGGTGTAATATATCTGATTTGATCAATGTTTGGCTAAAAAATTTGTATTGCTTACTCATTGTTTTTCATACAGCAGATGAAGGTCAACACTATATAGTTAACACAAATACAAAGATAACAGTAAGCAAAAAATAGTTTAAGGCACTTTAACTTTGGTGACTTAAATGCAACTTGTACCAAGCTATAAAAGGGGTATAAAGTAGAAGAGCAAAAATGTGTACTTTAAATTTGTATAAAATTGAAGATAGTTAAGTTGTAAGTAATAGTATATTTTTCTGAAGGGTGAACTGTTTCTCCACAAAGCATACCCCAATATGTGTGCTGAAGTATTTAAATGTTGTTAAATGTTGATAAATTTTAGATAATCAATTACACCTATGAAACAGAAATCAGTAAAATTTTATGTTTATAATATTTCTAAGTGAGATAGAGCACTGATTAGCACATTTTCCAAAAGCCAATCTTTGGTTTGAAAAAAACACTCTAGTTAAAGTGACTTGGCCCAGGAGTATTACTCAAGTATATTTTCTATTCCATAGAAGGAATGTCATCTTCAATGAAAATAAAAGACGGCTATTGAATTTATCTTTTAAGTTAAATAACTAAACAAATGAATGTTTGGAAAAGACAGATGTAGTCTGAATTTTATGAAGGGCCCAATGTACAGATTTTTTCTCAAAAAAAGACTGTAAAATGTTACCTAAGACTGAATTTTCTTTTAGATTGAGTTGGATTTCTTCTTCGAGTTTTGAAATGACTTGAAGCAGTCTCTCATTTTCCATTTTGTACTCCAAATTTTCTCTTTCTGGGGTTGCTTTTAGAGGGCTGATCTCTTTGGCAAAAGAGTCCTGAAAGATGGGGAATTCCATATTTCTAAGCAGGGCGTCGAGGATTTAAATATGAAACACGAGACAATGCAGATACAGAAGAGCTATCATATAATTTTCTGAATTCTATTACACACTTATAATATGAATAGTAAAAAGGAAGGAGATTAAATGGAGCTTGCTGGAAGAAAGGCTGCAGTACATTCTGTACAAAGACCACAGCACATGGGGACATTTTATTGACAAGAATAATGCATATCATACTGTGTTTGTGCCCTCACCATTCAGGTCAATTCATCATGGCGGCTGTGTCTGGGGAGGCGGCTGGGGCCCCTCTGCCCACAATTCCCTCTGTGTGTCTGAAGTGCTGTCCGCCAGCCTGTAACTAGGCAGGCTGGGGAGACCAGGACAGGCAGCACCAGGGGGTGGCAAAGTGCATGGCTAAGGAGGGGGGCTTGTTGCCTTTGTGGCATTTCCCAGTGTCAGCGCTGCCAGTGTCATGAGGAGCACATCACATGTCAAAGTGGTGACGTTTTCAGGCTGGGAGCCGCATGGAGCCCATCAGGCACACGGATATCCACACAGTTGGTCTTCTGCTTGGTGGAGGAGCCACCCAGAGGCAATTCATATTCTGAACATTAACATGGCTTTGCATGCCTGTCACACTGGGGCTGTGCAGGCGTTTAATGCTATTGAAGACTTCGGTTTAAATCTCTATGCAAACAGTGATTACCTTGTAAGAAGGTTTCAGGATAACTTACAACAAAAGACATTAAAGTTATAGTTTTAGTAAAGCAAACTCATTTACATTTTTATTATGTGTGTCTTTTGTTTAAATCTTGCCATGTCCATTATGGAAGAGGCTTTTTCTTGCGCATAGAAGCTTATTGGAAAAGCTACTCTTCTTTTCTTTTTCTTCTAGTCTGTTTCGCAGCTATTGAAAGCATCTGAATATACTTGCTTATAGCTGTCTAGATTTTACTGCCACACACTTAAAAAAAAATTAAGATGTAATGGGTTGGGAAAGCTGGTGCAGAACTTTGTACTTCATGTTGGTAAATGTTAAATGATAATGCAATCTCAAAATATTAAGGAGTATGTTTAAAAGTCCTGCTACTATGCTAAAAGAGATAGAAGGTTCTATATGTCTTGCTTCAAAATTAATATGGACAACAGAAATGCTTTTGAACTTGAAGTAATCTTCAGCTGAATTACAACCTATTCTTTTTGTACTAATGCCATGACTGCAAATACACAAGAACAAGCTCTCCCCTTCAAAACACAATAATTCCTCCCACTATACCAGTTTCCTTTTGGTGTTGTATTTTTATTTAACTTCAGAGCTTTTTCTGGAAGTAAATTATTTAAATGTTTTTCTCTGTGATCATAATGGTTCAAAAGAAAAATAGCAGCTACAATGTTTGTAGTACATTAATGAACCCTTAAAAAATAAGCGACTTGGTAATGAAATTATATCAGAGTTAATTTTTTAAATAATGTTAAATTTTGCACTAAATTCAATACAAATCTTCACTATTTTGATTCACCATTCCATTTAAATTATTTGAGCCCAATTAATTCTTAATTAATGAAAACTAACAAATCTAATAGTAGTAACAACAACACAGTCGTAACAAAAGAAGAATCCCAGTCATTAATTTCTTGTCCCATACAGTTCAATTTGAGACCATCACAGAATCATTAATATCTTGTCCCATACAGTTCAATTTGAGACCATCACAGAATCATTAATATCTTGTCCCATACAGTTCAATTTGAGACCATCACAGAATAGACTAAAAGGGCTTTTTTAAAAGGGCAAACAATATTTGCCTTACTAGGCTTAAGCATTACATTGCCTAACAGTGGCAAAATATGAACATCCACAGTGGGTTATGTGAGCACCTGTTATCATGAACTAAACAAGAATGATTTGAATTAATCAGACGGAGTGGCAGCAGCTAATACCTAAATGTTTTTTCTAAAAATTTCCTGTAAAAGCAGGAAACAAGGAAAACATTCAACTGGAAGGTTTTCCTTCATACCCCTCAGCAGCCCCCGTTTTGGGAAGGTTAATCTTTAGCTCTGTCCCCACCATCTGTCAGCTGCAGGAACTGCAGGTAATTAACTATTCAGACTCCCACAGCAATGAGGACACTCATTAGCAAAATGAACAATGGGATAGTTCTGGGCTGCTACGGTCATCTGTTACACTCTGAGTGGCAGGTTTTGTGGTGGTGTTCTTTCTACCATCTGCCCACATCACTAGTTTTGGCTTACTTAAGCCATGAGATTTCTTTAAAATAAACTGCTTTCATAAACCAACACTAAAAAGGTTGGACATCCTAAAGGCGGTGAACTAGATGTAACTATTTAAAGCAACATTATAGTCAGGGAGAGATTGTGTGTGATCCATGATTATTATGGAGTTTTAAATTCATATAGGAACTTGCTAATTTAAAGTCATTCTATCAGGTGAAAACCAGGACTTCAGGTTGTGGCTTATGGGCTCTTTCTCTGGTGAGCATTCACAAGATGTGCAGAATCACTGTTCTCAGCTTTCAGAATCCCAAATAGATCTCGAAAGAATCACTTCTGAAGAATGAGTATTCTAGAGCCTTTCTACTCAAAGTGTGGTCCACAAACCGGGAGCCCCAGCATTACCTGGGAGCTTACTGGAAATGCAGAATCTCCAGCTGCAGCCCAGGCCCACTGTCAGAATCTGTATCTTAACAAGAGCTGCAGGTGACTTGTCTGCACAATAAGGTCTGAAAAATATGGCTTAGAGTACTGCATGTGTCCGTTCAGCAGTCTCCTTTCTACTAAGTTGGCATCTCAATTCTGCAGGCTCTGCATACAGTACTTGGACATCTCAATTTTCTCCCGGGAGTGGAGTAGGGTTCGTATGCATGCCCATGCTGCATGACAGTCATAGAGAAGAGCAGGTGTTTTCCCAATGAGTGACAACCAGGAAAGTGGCACACTGGGGCAGTGCAGCCCTGCAGAGCTGCTACTCTTGAATGGCAGCTGTTTCAGAGCCGTCAGCAACAAGAAGTTATGTTCACCTATGGGGGGTTGCACGGATGATGGCTGCACAGCTCATCCATATTGGGGTAAGAAAGAAAAATGAAAAGTCTTTTCCAAATGACAACTTCAATTGCAATTGAAACAATACGTAGTGAGCAGGTGGCAACATACACCTCCTTGAGCAATTCTCAAGGGGATTTATCAACAAAAAGCATGACAGCTCTATGACTAGAGTGATATGCAGTTAAGTCGCAGTGGTTTCCTACAAAATGAAACCTGAAAAGACACTCAGCTTTTGAATGAAGTTGCTCTCAGGAAAATTCAACATTATGAATGTTTGGAACCAAGACAGATGGGGCTTCTGTAACTTGAAAAACTTCCTTTTCTGATTTCCACTTTGTTATAAATATAATTTAAACTTGTTGTTTATTAAACTTCCCCTTTCCTATCACATCCTTGGTAGATTTCTCTCAAAAACAGTCCTGGAGAGATATTATGACTACTTATTAACTATCAAGCTATTCATGTAATTTCACAACCAGTAAGAATAAACCACAGTGTTTCCCTATTGTTTATTTGATTTGTTTATTTCAATTTTTATCAAGTTATTTCCAAGGCTACTTTGCGATTTTCGAATTGTTTCGCCAAATTCTGTTTTCCAAATCTGATTTCAGTGGTGTCTCGAGCTTTTTTACCACCACTAGAGGGAGCAGTTGTATAAGACGAAATTTCAAATAAACAAAACATGCTCCATCATCTAGAAATTAAGTGGCATGGAGTTTTAGGAAAGCTTGTTCACAGATTTAAGAAAGTATTTTGTTTAAGTTTATTTTACAAAACAAAGGATCTGCTTTTGCCATATTCATGTCCATGTAACTGCTCTTCATTGCCCTGAGTCCCGGCAGGAGAGCAGGGCTATAGGTTCTGTCAGGGTGCTAAGGAGCTGGGAGAAATGTACACGCCCAGGTATACAGGAATACCTCATTTCCTCAAATCTGAGGGTGTTTACAGAAATTCTGATGTGGTCCCCTTTGGGACAAGTTACAGTGGAATAAGTAGGGTATTCGGGTGCCATCCTGAGCCAGAGTAGGGGGCAGCCTCCCATTTTCTGTAGACCTCACAAAACCACCACCCAGCCCCATCCTTTCTGCAGGACATCCAGATAGTTTACAAGTTTCAAACACTTGGAGGCATAAACATTACAAGAAAGGTCTCGTGTTTTAGACTAAATAGCTGGATCACTAAACTGAGATGTTCTCAATAGCCCAGAGGTCTGTTCAGTGCATTTCATTGAACATAAACGATGGTTATAAGGACTTGGATATTTCCCCATAATGATAACTAGAATGCATATATTTGTCCTTCTTCAAAGAACTCAAAGTAATTCAGTCAGTATAACCGGTGTCCTTCTCATAACTCTCTTGGCTAGGTGGGCATCACTTTCCATTTCACAAATGGAAATAAATGAATCAAAACTGCCTTGCCAATCTCTGCTGGATGTCTTTGGCCAAGGCAGGATTATAAGCCAAAAAGATCAGTTTTTTAGCCTTTTTTATTAAATTACTTTCTCCAAAAGATAAGAGTAGATGAGGACCCAGGAAAAGGTTAAAGAAAAATAAATGCAAAACCTGGATGTACCGCCTCCTCCAAGGCAGTCAGAACATCTAAAAAAAACTCAATATTCAATTTTATTAGATCTATACTGATAACACATAATACTACATTACTTAGAAGATATTTAGGTTTTTTTTTTAAAGAACATGAAGAATTCCAATAGATTACACAAGGCAAGTACTCCACCAGTTAGCTAGTAAACCAAGTACTTTCGAATTGGCACAAGTTCAATTCCTTGTCTCTTCTAACCTTGGAGTTTTAAGCAAGAATATTAGTGTGAGATTTTGAAAAATGGTAGATTGCATATAAAGAGGCTGGCAACTCACGAGAGTTTCTTCTTAGTGTTAACGTTCTGATGTACAACTTCTCAGACTCTTCCTGTACATATATATGCATGTGTCAATACTTAAGTGTGTGTGTGTATATATATATATATATACATGTATTAATATATTAGTATATTATAATAATACAATCTATACTATATGTATACAGTTGACCCTTGAACAAAGTGGGGCTTAAGGTTACCAACACTCACCACCCTAACTTCCTACCTCATGCAGTCAAAAATCCAAGTATAACTTTTGACTCCCCAAAACTGACTTAACAGCCTGCTGTTATCTGGAGCCTTACCAATAACGTAACAGTTGATTCACACTTATTTTGTATGTTATATATATTATATACAGTATTCTTACATTAAAATAAACTAGAAAGAAAATGCTTTTCCAAATTGTCACAAACCTCCAAAACATTTTCCAGTGTATTTATTGGGAAAAAAACCCACATGTAAAAAAACCTTCACAGTTCAAAATTGTGTTGTTCAAGAGCCAACTGAATAAATATAAACTACAACCTTTAATTCTTATCATAGAACATAAAGTTCCACTTCCTTCTGTGGGCTTTGAATTCAGTGGGACCTTGGTTTACCAGCCACCTTTACCACTTCAAGCTGTGTGCCTGGGGAAGGTACTTAACCACCCGGTCTCCACTTCCTTGTCTGTACACCAAGCTGGGAGAGGAGCAGAGGTGCCACTCATGAGGCACCTGGTGCTGCCCGATGACATTCAGTAGATTGTTAGTCCTCTGGCCTCCGTTAGCCTCTCCTACTCATGCAGCAATCAGCTTCGTGCTCTTAAAGCCTAATACTCAAAAGCCCTCTACGGCTCTGCACTGGTGTTGGGCCAGCAGTTTGAAGCTGACTTGAAATGTAAATGAACTTGCCACACTTGCCAGAGCCTTCCCAATTCTCCTGGACAGGAGTGTAGACTCTCCTTTCTGCTCCCTCTCTCCCACCAGTCCTTTGTCTAAGCAGCAAACCAGTTCCTGGCTCCCTTAGCAAGCAGGGAGGGTGGAGGAGGGGACAGCCCTCTGAGATTTTCTTTCCTGACATTTCTACTTACAGGTCAGACTTCCAAAACGGCCTCTGGGAAGCTTCTGACTTGGGAAGATTGCTTTGTGCCTTTCAAACTATCTGGACTGCAAAAAGTGGGGGAGAGTTTGAGAATTAAAACAAAAATCTATTAATGTCCTCTTCTAGAGTGGAAATGTTCTTGCAGTGGGAGATGCGTTATTTACATTATAAATAAAAATTGAGAACAATCAGATTGCTCCTATTTATAACCATTATGGGTTTTCCAGAGTATGCCATTGAGCAGGCTAGGGTTGGACTGGCTTATGCTGGGAACAGATGTCCAAGATACATCACATGTATTTCCTTTATTCCTAACCCAAGCTTTTAGATACTTACAACTTTATATACACATATTAAAATTAATTATTCTTTGCTTTGAAACTTACAAGTTTTTGAGATCCAGATTCCTCACATTGGTCTTGTTCTTCTTGTAATTCCTTAATAATTTCTTCTCTCTCCTTCAGTTTTCTTAGCAAAATATTTATTTTGACAGAAGCTGAGTCTTGTGGAGAAGTCTTCTCTTCTTCCACCTCAAAGAAATGTGATGGGAAATAACAGCATTAAAAATAACAGCACTAAGCTAGCACCACCAGAAACTATTTCATGTTCCAGCTAAGCCATTGTCTTGTAAGCAATTTTATTTTTGTAACTTGTACATAATTAAAAAAAAATTAAGGTGTCATTGATACACAATCTTATGAAGGTTTCACATGAGCAACATTGTGGTTTCAACATTCACCCATATTATCAAGTTCCTGCCTCCCCCACCCCATTGCAATCCCTGTCCATCAGCATAGTAAGATGCTATAGTCATTACTTGTCTTCTCATACTATACTGCCTTACCTGTGACCTACCTATATTGTGAGTGCTAATTATAAGGCCCGTTGATCCCCTTCTCCCTCCCTCCCCACGCACCCTCCCTAACCCCTTTCCTTTGGTAACCGCTAGTCCCTTCTTGGAGTCTGTGAGTTTGCTGCTGTTTTGTTCCGTCAGTTTTGCTTTGTTGTTATACTCCACAAATGAGGGAAATCATTTGGTACTTGTCTTTCTCCACCTGACTTATTTCACTGAGCATATTTCCCTGGCTTACTTCCCTCTAGCAACATCCATGTTGTTGCAAATGATAGGATTTGTTTCTTTTTAGGCTGAATAATATTCTATTGTGTGTATGTACCACATCTTTGTTATCCATTCATTTACTAATAAACACAGGTTGCTTCCATATCTTGGCTATTGTAAAAAGTACTGTGATAAACATAGGGTTTTGTTTTCTTTGGGTAAATTCCTAGGAGTGGAATTCCTGGGTCAATGGCATTTCTATTTTGAGTTTTTTGAGGAACCTCCATATTGCTTTCCACAGTGGTTGAACTAATTTACATTCCCACCAACAGTGTAGGAGGGTTCCTCTTTCTCTGCATCCTCGCCAGCATTTGTTGTTCCTTGTTTTTTGAATGTTGGCCATCCTAACTAGTGTGAAATGATATCTCATTGTGGTTTTAATTTGCATTTCCCCGATGATTAGTGATGTGGAGCATCTTTTCATGTGTCTGTTAGCCATCTGTATTTCTTCTTTGGAGAAGTGTCTGTTCAGATCCTCTGCCCATTTTTTAATTGGGTTATTTGTTTTTTGGGTGTCAAGGCATGTAAGCTCTTTATGTATTTTGGATGTTAACCCCTTATCAGATAAGTCATTTACAAATATATTCTCCCATACTGTAGGATGCCTTTTTGTTCTACTGATGGTGTCCTTTGCTATAGAAGCTTTTTAGTTTGATATAGTCCCATTTATTTATTTATGCTTTTGTTTCACTTGCCCAAGGAGATGTGTTCAGGAAAAAGCTGCTCATTTTTATAGTCAAGAGATTTTTGCCTGTGTTTTCTTCTAAGAGTTTTATGGTTTCATGACTTACATTCAGGTCTTCGATGCATTTTGAGTTTACTTTTGCATATGGAGTTAGACAATCCAGTTTCATTCTCTTACATGTAGGTGTCCAAGTTTGCCAACACCAGTTGTTGAAGAGGCTGTCATTTCCCCATGTATATCCATGGTTCCTTTATCATATATTAACTGGCCATATATAAACTTGCACATAATTTTTATTAAATAACTATATTTATAGTGGATGACATGCTAAAGTATCATGGAATATAGGTGCAATTATCCTATAAAACACAAAGCATGATGTCGTATTATAACTGCATAAGCTATGCAAATAGTAATGGTAAACCTTAATAGTAAATTCACATCATGATTGTGAGGGTCCTACTTCATTCCTCTAGAAAGGAAGATAGCCAAAATTTGAATATGTAAAAAAGGAAGTAAATGACTATTCCTTCAATGGTTTGGGATAGAGGTATGGAGGAAGTACCATTTCTTTTTTATTTTTCCATAGAAAAGGTTTGCTGACCTTTAATCTAGACAGGCTATATGCTTCATATGAAAAATTAGGAAACAGAGACCAGAGCAGAGAACAATACGTTAAAATAAAAATTTTTTTCATGCAAAGCTGTGGATAACAAACCATTAGGCATAAGAAAATAATCTTCAGGGTCTATGTGCATAACTATTCTGAAATGATATAATTTTAACACATCATTCCTTCCTCTCTGAATGAAAAAAAAAGATGGCTATGTTTTTGCTTTACTTAAAAAAATATAATAAACTGCTTTTGGTAATCCTAATAAGTAAGAGATTAAATGAAAAAAATCCACCATCAAGTTGGTTATAGTATTAGTTGACACCGTATGTCATATATGGCAGGGTCCCTGCTTTAGTCCATCTGCCTTTATAGCATGAGGTTTTCCTACCTTATGAGCAGTTTACAAAAATGTAATTACTGACAGTTGCATTACATTTGTTCTATAGAAATGCTATTATTTATATGATCATTTTAAAAAACTTTTCTATTATACTTAATCTTTATTCATTAATCTATGTCCACATTTCTGATTTTTTTCTTGGCATAGATTCCTAGAGGTAGAATGCCTGGCCAAAGCATATGAATGTTTTAATGGTCTTGATTCATTTTATAAATTTCCTTTCCAAAGGATTGTTCAATATATATTCTACTTTGAGGATATGGATGTTTATCTCACTACATTCCCTACCCACTGTATATTGTTTGTCTTTTCTATGACAATATGTATAGTATTTTATATTGTTTTAACCAGCATGTTTTCATCACCAATGAAAGTGAATTTTTATATGATATTAGCTATTTATTTTATATTCTGAAAATGCTCGATTCTTATCATATTCCCTTTTACTGAGAACTCAAAATACTTTCAGAACTTCCCTTGATCTTTTTATTAATCCATTTTATTGATTAGTTTTACTATTTTTATTTGTCAGTGTAGAAGTACCATTTCTGGACAGCCTGTTTTAAATATCTCTATTTACAGTCATTACTCTGGAGAATTGTATCACAAAACCAAAACAGGTAAGAAATGCTTAAAAAAATGGATGTGGTTTTACTTACTTCCAGCACATAGAAATCTTACTTTCAACCCTGCTATGCAAAATCACGTTGTCCATTTTGGACTCCTTTGAGAATTACAGAAGAATTATTTTATTTTTATTATCCATTCATTGTTAATATATTTGAGCACATGAACTTACAAGAAATATAGAAATATAGAAAAACCAAGTCATATCTGCTAATATACTTAACATATTTCAAAGAGTTAGATATAACAAACAAAAATTGTTCTAATATTATATGATGAATAACAGTAGACTGAAAAGACTAACATTGTATCGCAGTAAAATTAAGAGTCACACTAGGAACAGAGTGTAGGAATAGTCTACATAACACTAATGAAAAAATCAGCATAGGAATATGTAGTAGAATTAAAGGGTGAAAATAGAAGAATCCTATGACAGTATCAGCTTTTTAAATTGGGCTTTAAAGAACAGTGATGATTATGTGGAAGTATTCTTCACATCTGTTCTTATCTTTGTCTACAGCTCAAGTGTTCTGATGCGGCCCACACTCATCCCCATAGTGCCCTGGGTGGTACTGGGCAATCTCAAAAAGACAGGTCCAAACAGAATTCACCAAAGAGAGTTCACTTTCTGTATCCCTTTATTAACAGCGGCACAAGGCAGATAACCATTTTCTGTCATTTTAAGCCTTTTCTGCTCCCTCTCTAACTCCCCAGTTCTGTTCAGTCCACCCCTTGCTCTCTCCCAAACTTCCCTGTTCCATGGCCATTGGAATCCTTGCTTCGTTCACCTGGACAAGTCTCTTAACTCACCTCCCTGCCTCTCCTTTTGACTCCTCCAACCAGTCTCCACTCTGTGGCCAAAATGGTCTTTCTAAAACGCACCTTGGCCCCACTCCCTTAGCATGACATACAAAATGGCCTCCTTCATGATGTGCTCCAGCTACTTGGCCACTCGCTAGTCTCCTCTGCCCTTTCCCGACCCAGCTGGGTCTTTTGTCAGTAGTGATACTCAAAACCACCTTGGTGCCAATAGGCTCTGCCCTCACACTTGGAGTTCCTACCCCAGCAGACAAGCTCCAACCCGTCAATCTAGAATGACTTTAAAGTAGGACTGCAGGCCAGGTCTGTCACTTAGTAGCTTTGTGAGCTTGCACAAGCTTCTTAAATGCCCTGTGCCTCAGTTTTATCATCTGTAATATGGGATTAATAATGATACCTGAACTGTCATGAGACTTAAATAAGATAATGCAGGTAAACAATTTTGAATGGTGTCTACAACACAATCAGCTCCCTGTAAATACTGTCTCTTAGCCGTTATTACTGTTGTTACTGTTTGTCTTTTAAACCCAGATGCCACCTGCTCTGGGAGGCTTTAGCTCCTCCTCTCCTCTCCATCTGCCTTTCACTGCTGTATTTTTCCTATATCTTGTCAGCACTCTTCTTGGCTCACTTTGTTTATTATTTATTTGCTCACTATTTTTTTTGTTCTGAAATAGATTTATTTTGCTCTTAAAAACACCAAAACAAAGCTGCTTCTGACCAGTTAGTTAAATTGTCTCCTTTATAATATGCCACAAACCACCCTGGGAGCTCATTTAAAATCCTGCTAGGACCTACCCTGAGATGCTGCACAGACTCCTCAGTGTTCTAGCCAGCCTGCCTTTAGGGTGGGCTCCGTCTCTCTGGACTTCAGTGTACAGAGGGTCACGCTTCTTTGGAAGAACAAAAAGTTTTAATTTTGACATTTCATAAAATAATTGGGTGTCCCAGATACATAGTAATCATCTCCAGGAATGTTTCTGATGTTTTACAAGTGTTTACTGAATGTGCTGGACACAGAGGAGATGAGCAGAAAGCAGTTTTTTTCTTTACCACTCCTTCCAATCTGGTTTCCCTTGTGTTTCTCACCTCTTAGAACTCTCTGGAAAAGTGTCATGATTTGTTTGTTTAAGTGAGATAACAAACAAAATAGGTACAGGAAAGATAGAGAGAATGCAAAAGCCCAAAACAAACCCTATGCCCCCCGCCCCCGAATCTCCAAAATTTGCCCAGCAACGCTCCTATCTTCCCTCAGCTCAGGCCTCCCTTAGACTTGGCAGCCTGCAGTGGAGGATGGGGGTTGAACCTGGATTCCTTTTCTAATAACCAGAGATTTGGTCAAACACCCATCTAGATGTTTTTGTGAAAACGTTTTTTAGGTAAGATTAATGTTTAATCAATAGGCTTTGAATAAAGCAGATTACCCTCCGTAATGTGGATGGACCTCATCCAAATGGTTGAAGGCCTTCAGAGAAAGACTGAGGTCCCTGGAGGAAGAGGGAATTCTGTCTGCAGACTATTTACCCGCTCAAATAGTGACATCAACTCTTCCCTGGGTCTCTAGCCTTGCTTGCTTACCTTGTAGATTTCAGACTTGCCAGCCCCCACAATCATTCCTTAAAATCAATCTCTTTTTCCCTTTCTCTCTCTCTCTCTCTGCGCACACATCCTATTGGTTCTGTTTCTCTGGAGAATCTTGACTAATAAATTATCCACATCTAAAGACCATAAATTCACACCAACACCTCCAATTCCAGTCCAACATCACAGCATTTACGGTCATCTTCTTTCCATGGTAGCACCCCTTTTCTGACAGTAATAAAACTAGGTCGCATGATGCTCAATGCACCGATGTATTTGCTCAGTGTGCCCTTGCTGTAACCCACCTCTGGACCACATTGTGCCACTGAGAGCTCTGCTCTGATGCGGGGAATGGGGAAAGCAAGGAGGCAGGAGCATGTCTTTGGTCTTTTAATTCACAATGACAAAGATTTATTTTAAATTTAAATGCTATTGGTCTTGCCAGTTAACATTTGTATTTTAACTTTCCCTTTGGCATTTGAAAGTGAGATGGGGTTAATATTCAAATATCTGGGACACAATTGTTGGCTTTTTATTATTAAAATAATTTTATGATGTTATTTGATCTCATAGGCAATACCTGTGACAGACAATATTAGACAACAGAGCTGGACATAATCTGGGGTGAGAAATAGACTAGGATATAAATTTTTGGTACCCAGAAGTCTGAGGATACCCAGAGGAGCAGTGGTGGGTGTTGGGGGCTGCATTACGAAGGTGGGAGCAGGGCTTTCCTCTTTCCCAATCCTCAACACACACCTAGTTTATTATCAGCTAAATGGTTAAATTCAACATGGTGAGAGAAAAAGAAAAATCCCAGGAATGTTGTTTCCTTCCATGTGGAGTGACATCCTCTTCCACTCTGTTTTATCTGATTATAACCTTGGAAGAAGAAGCTTGGTCATGTGTTGGCCATCCCCTTCCTTTTCCCTTTCTCTCTGGGGCAAGTGCTACAGGAAGAGACCCACCCAGCCCAGTGCTGCCTGTGATGGGAGGTAAGTCTGCCAGATCTTGGGTTTAGCACTCGGTAGCCTGTTTTATCAGTGAAACAGATGCTATCCATCTGCTGACTCCCTGACTTTATTTTTCAACTGGTCCAAATCTGGGTGGGGAAGAGGATATTATTTATTGAGTTACATAAAGACTCCAATAATATTTATCTTTCAAGGTTGCAAATCTAAGCATGATGTGAAAACTGCTTAGAATTCTACAGTGATTCTTTGATGTCTCTGAGATAAATACCAGTTCCTCAGCTTCTCTTGCCTGTATCACCTCTCACCACTTTCTCCAGACCTCTTATCTTGAAGCCTTACAAATGACTTACAGCTCGCTGGCTTCCTTGCACCCTAATGCCTCTTTGCTGTCACCCAGGCCACTTCCCTGTCTGCCTCCTATCTTTCCCCAGCTTGCCAAATAGTCATCATCTTTTAAGGCTTAGTTCAGAAATCACCTCCTCTTGAAAATCTTCCTTAACTATTCTCCCAAAACCCCAGATGAGTCAGGCACTCATCAGGTGCAGACCTCTTTTACGGACCGTAACTGCTGAATTTACCTCTCATGAATGCTACAGTTATGAACAACTTAAGTTCAGGGACTGCTTTTGTCTCTGCTACAAAAATCAGATGGTGGATGGAGGAAGCAACAATTGAGTGAAAGAACAAGCAGTTAAAACCCTCAGCATCATGTATTGCCTTTGTTCTTGGAAGTTTTCCCTAGGAACTCATAATTTATTTCCAGGACCATGGTGTAGGTAGAGTTCTTTTGGCACCTTTCTTGGTTATATTCAGCCTCTTATTCAACAAACACTTGTCTAATACCTATTACATGCCAATCCCTCTGTTGGGAGAAGAGTACAAAGATGGATACAGCACGGTCTCTGGTCCCTAGGAACAAAAAGTCTACAGTAAAGACCAAGACATAAAAGAGTAACTTTGCTACAATTCAGTGTGTCAGTTATCCAGGAGAGCAAGAGCATCCCAGCAAGAAGGAACGTTATGTGAAAATTCCAGGGAGGTGACTGACTAATAAGTTGAGGTATGCAGAGGGAGGCAGGTGACTACCAGTGGCTCAGTATTGCTGGACAGTGAAATTTCCATCAAGAAGCAAAGAGAGATAAGAGTGGAGAAATCTAAGGTCTTTCTGGGACCTGCTAATTAATGGCTTAGATGTCACCAGACTGGCTTAGAATAGATGCTGAAGGGTTTTTAATAGGGGCAGGATATGACTGGATTTGTGATTGAAACACTACGCACTCTGCTGGGTAGACAAGGACATCAGGAAACTAGATGGGATAAGGAGGTAACACCTGCAGGCGAGGCAAGCCATGTCGACTGCCAGGGCTATTCACTGGCAAGGTAACGAAGACGGATTTAGGAGGTTAAAAAACTGGCAGGGTTTGAAGGCTCACTGAAAATGAGGGTGTATTTATTCCCTGTGCTGTATCACAGTTTTACTTAGTGGCTTACAATGCATGTGTATTATCTCAGTTTCTATGGGCCAGGAGTTCAGGAATGGCTGAGATGGGCTGAAATCAGTGTGTGGTTTGGGCCTATGGTCTCCTCAGAGGATCAACTGGAAAAGGATCCTCTTCCTCACTCATGCAGGTTGTTGGAAGGATTCATGTCCTTGTGGTGTAGGACTGAGCTTGTCAGCCAGAAGCTGCCTTAGCTCCAGAGGCTGCTTGCAGTTCTTTGCCCCCAGATGTTGGGACTCCACAACATGGCCTTTTGCTCTCTGCAAGCCGACAAAGGAGAGGGAGACTGTAAGACAGGAGCTACACTCTTTCTTAACGTAATCATTGTGGCACCTTTGTTAGATTCTGTTGGTTAGAAGCAAGTCCAGGTTCCGCCCACACTCAAGGAGACAAGGTGCGTGATCACACAGGGAGTGAAGCCCTGGAGGAGGGACTCTTAGGTCAGCACAGGGAGTGAATCCCAGCTTCCAGCAGGGGGGAGGAGCTGGACTGTGGCACCAACTGCTAAGACCAGGAAACTCAGGAGAAAGGGCAGAGTTAAGGGGAAAGATGTTTTGTAAAGTCTGGGTCCTGGTGAGTTTGGGGTGACTTATTTTGTAACTTTTTTCTTTTATAAACTTCAGTTTTTTGCCATTTCATCCAGGCATTTTTCTTTCTCATCCTCTTTGCAACATAAAGCCTGATCCAGGCCATTAACAATGCTCTGGGGAAGGAATTCCTCACAATCCAAGGAGATGCACCATGTCCTTGGCAGAAGCCCATCTTGATTTCATGTCAGAATCCAGAAAATTTAATCCCCTTCAAATGCCAAAATGTTGGTATTTTATTGCATACTACTGTTTTAGGACTTTAAAAAAAAATCTGAAGTAACAGTCATTTAACACCTGGGTAGTAATTTGGATGGCTCTTCTACACGTCTGCAGGCCTTGAAAGGCAGAGGAAAACACAATAGACAAAGGAAGGTTTCAACTGTAAGAATAAACACTTTCACTGTTCAAAGACTTTCCAAAGCAATTTTACCACATTACTGTTTTAACAAACACATTTTTAACATGACAGCCTTGAAACAGATTTGAGTAATTCTGCATCAGACCTTCATCTATATTTGAGAAAGTACAGAAGAGGACAAACCTGGAATGCTTTCCTTGAAATAAATGTTACTGCTTGCTGTCCGTATAAAGATTTTAGTCCTGAAGAATGAACTGAGAGGGTCGTTGGTAAAGATCTCTTTAAAGTTGCTGAAGGGGAGATGTGGTTATCTGATGAAGATGTCCTGGGAAAAGTGAACTGATAACAATTTGCCATTCGCCTGATTAATGACAATCAGAAAAAGATTTCTTGGAAGTTAGAAAACTGTGTACAGAAATTTTCTCTGGCTTATTGATGATACAAATGACACTTTTTTTTTAAAAGATCACACTTTTTTATAAGTTTTTTTTAGAGCATTTTTACGTTTATAATAAAATTGAGAGGAAGGTACAGAGAGTTCCCATATGCCCTCTGCCCCCACACATGTATAGCCTACCCTATAAAATTGCTTGTTTTTTTAAAAGATCAGATGAAATAATCATGTTTTCACAATTACATTTTCTTCTGTCTTGTATGGTTTGTTATTTTCTGAGCAATACTTATTTTATCTGCTAGTAGTTTTTATTTGTATGCATATATATTTGTTTACATTTATATGCAATTTTGTTTTTATTTGTTTTATATATGTTCATAAAATTTGTATTTGAGATAGTATACATTTAGTTCACTACTTAAAAATGTCTATGAGTTATCAGATGGTAGGGACAGAAGGTATGGGCGTAGGAATTGGAAGAAGGTGGCCAAAAGGTATAAACTTCCAGTTATAAGATAAATAAGTATCAGGGAAGTAACATATAGCACGGTGACTACAGGTAACATTGCTAGATGGATGTTTGAAAGTTGCTGAGGGAGTAGATCCCAGAAGTTCTAATCACAAATAAAAAATAATTAATTTTTTTGTGACTATGAGGAGATGGATGCTAACTAAATTTATTGCGGTAATCATTTCACAATATATGTAAATCAAGTCATTATGTGATACACCTTTCACTTATACTGAGCTATATGTCTACTGTATCTCAGTAAAACTGAAAAAAAATCTACAAATCCTGAATTTATTAAAATAAATGTTAGTAGCAGTAGCTACTGTTTCTATTTTATGAAAAATAAATATAAAAAATACACAGCCAGAGGCCAGCTTTGGGCCACTGCTTGTACTAAAGTAAGTAGTGGTAACTTTTCTTTCCATTGCTAGGGCTTTGAGTTTCCTCAGAGTCCCCAGGGAGACACTCCTAGTAGTTCTGTTACCTATTCAAAAAATATAAGTAACAGTGTATTTTATTTTTTCATCAAAATAAATTGATATACAATATTGAATGGTTTCAAGTGTACAACAGAGTGCTTTGACAACTATATACATTATGAGATGCTCACCACAGTACGTGTAGTTGACATCTGTCAACATACAAAGTTATTACAATATTATAGGCTATATTCTCTGTGCTGTACTTTCATCCCCATGATTAATTTTAATTATTTATTTATTTATTACTGATATACAATCTTATATTAGTTTCAAATATACAACACAGTGGTTCAACAGTTATCCACATTAAATCTTCACCCCCACTAATACAGCTACTATCTGTCAACATAGGAAGATGTTATAGAATCACTGGCTATATTCGCCATGCTGTACTACCATCCCCATAACCAACTTATAATTGAGATTTTTGTGCCCCTTTAACTGCCTTCCCCTACCCACTCACCCAGCCCCTCCCCCATCACCACCGCCAGTCCCTTCTCGGTGTCTGAGTCTATTGCTGTTTTGTTCATCCTATTTTGCTTTGTATTTATATTCCACAAATAAGTGAAATTATATGGCATTTGTCTTTCTCTGTTTGGCTTATCTCACTGAGCATAATAGCCTCTAGATGCATCCATGTTGCTGCAAATGGAAGGATTTTTATTTTTTTAATGGCTGAATAATATTCCATTATGTCTATGTACTACCTCTTCTTTACCCATTCATCTACTGATGGACACTTACTTAGGTTGCTTCCATATCTTGGCTATTGTAAATAGTGCTGCAATAAACATAGGCGTGCATATATTTTTTTGAATCAAGGATTTTATTTTCTTCAGGTAAATTCCTAAAAGTGGAATTGCTGGGTGGAATGTTATTTCTATTTTTAGTTTTTCGAGGAACCTCCATTACTGCTTTTCACAGTGGCTGCACTAACTGACATTCCCACCAACAATGTAGGAGGGTTCCCTTTTCTCCACATCCTCATCAACACTTGTTATTTCTTGTCTTTTGGATAGTGGCCATTCTAACTGGTGTGACGTGATATCTCATTGTGGTTTTGATTTGTATGTCCCTCATGATTAGCAATGTGGAGCATCTTTTCATGTGACTGTAGGCCATCTGTATTTCTTGTTTGGAAAAATGTCTGTTCAGGCTCTCCACCCATTTTTCAGTTGGGTGATTTGTTTTTTTGGCATTGAGGCATACGAGCTCTTTATATATTTTGGATGTTAATTTCTCACTGGATAAATTATTTATGAATATATTCTCCCATAGTGTAGATTGAGTTTTTGTTCTGCTGATGGTGTCTTTTGCTGAACAGAAGCTTTTTAAGTTGATGTAGTGCACTTGTTCATTTTTTTTTTGGTATCATTAATGTACAATTATATGAGCAACATTATGGTTACTAGACTCCCCCTATTATCAAGTCCCCACCAAATACCGCATTACAGTCACTATCCATCAGTGTAGTAAGATGCTATAAAATCACTACTTGTCTTCTCTGTGTTGTACTGCCTTCCCTGTGCCCCCCCCCAACATTATGTGTGCTAATCATAATGCCCTTTAATCCCCTTATCCTTCCATTCCCACCCATCCACCCCAGTCCCTGTCCCTTTGGTAATTGTTAGTCCATTCTTGGGTTCTGTGATTCTGCTGCTGTTTCATTCCTTCAGTTTTTTCTTTGTTCTTATACTCCACAGAGGAGCAAAAGCATTTGATATTTGTCTTTCTCTGCCTGGCTTATTTCACTGAGCATAATACCCTCTAGCTCCATCCATGTTTTTGCAAACGGTAGGATTTGTTTTCTTCTTATGGCTAAATAATATTCCATGGCGTATAGGTACCACTTTTTCTTTATCCATTCATCTACTGATGGACACTTAGGTTGCTCCCATTTCTTAGCTATTGTAAATAGTGCTGCAATAAACATAACGGGGGTATGTGTGTGCATATGTCTTTTTCAAACTGGGCTCCTGTATTCTTAGGGTAAATTCCTAGGAGTGAAATTCCTGGGTCAAATGGTATTTCTATTTTTGTTTTTTTGAGGAACCTCCATACACTTGTTCATTTTTTATTTTGTTTCTCTTGCCCAAGGAGATGTGTCCAGGAAAAAACTGCTCATACTTATTCTCAAGAGATTTTTGCCTATGTTTTCTTCTAAGAGTTTTATGGTTTCATGTCTCACATTCAGGGCTTTGATTGATTTTGAGTTTACTTTTCTCTCTGAAGTTAGGCAGTAATCTAATTTTATTCTCTTAGATGTATCTGTCCAGTTTTCCCAACAAGTTGTTGAAGAGGCTATCTTTTCCTGATTGTATATTCATGGCTCCCTTATCATATATTAATTGACCATATATGTGTGGGTTTATATCTGGACTCTCTATTCTGTTCCACTGATTTATGGGTCTACTCTTGTGTCAGTACCACATTGTTTTGATTACTGTAGCTTTGTCATATAGAGTGAAATCAAGGAGTGTAATACCCTCATCTTTGTTATTTCTCAGGATTGGTTTGGCTAATTGGGGTCTTTTGTGGTTCCATGTGAATTTTAGAACTATATGTTCTAGTTCATTGAAAAATTCTATTGGAATTTTTAAAGGTATCTGTAAATTGCTTTGGGCAGGATGGTCATTTTGACAATATTAATTCTTCCTATCCATGAGCATGGGATAGATTTCCACTTATTTGTGTCTTCTTTAATTTCTTTCAAGAGTGTCTTATAGTTTCCAGAGAATAGGTGTTTCACTTTCTTGGTTAGGTTTATTCCTAGGTGTTTTATTCTTTTTGATTAAATTGTAAATGGAATTATTTTCCTGATTTCTCTTTCTGCTAGTTCATTGTTAGCATATAGGAACACAACAGATTTCTGTGTATTAACTTGTATCCTGCAACTTGCTTAATTCAGTTATTAGCTCTAATAGTTTTTTGGTGGAATCTTTAAGATTTCTATGTACATTGTGTCATCTGCAAATAATGACAGTTTAACTTCTTCCTTTCCAATATGGATGTCTTTTTATCTCTTTGTGGTTTCTGATTGCTGTGGCTAGGACCTCCAGTACTATGTTGAATGAAAGTAGTGAGAGTGAACATCCATGTTTCTGATCTTAGAGGAAAAATGTTCAGCTTTTCACCATTAAGTATTATGTTAGCTATGGGCTTGTCATATATGGCCATTATTATGCTCAGGTACATACTCTCTATACCCATTTTTTTGAGAGTTTTTATCATGAATGGATGCTGAACTTCTTTGTCAAATGCTTTTTCAGCATTTATTGGATGATCATGTGGTTTCTACCCTTCTTTTTGTTAGTGTGGTGTATGATGTTCATTGATTTATGAATGTCATACTAACCTTACATCCCTAAATAAATCCCACTTGGTCATGATAGATGATCCTTTTGATGTATTTTTGAATTTCATTTGCTAATATTTTGTTGAGGATTTTTTTAACTATGTTCTGTTCATCAGGCACATTGGCCTGTAATTTTCTTTTTTGTGGTGTCTTGTCTAGTTTTGGTATTAAAGTGATGCTCACCTCATAGAATGAGTTTGAAGTATTCCTTCCTCTTTTACTTTTTGGAATACTTTAAGAAGGATGGGCATTAGCTCTTCTTTAAATGTTTGGTAGAATTAAGCTGTGAAGCCATCTGGTCCTGGACTTTTGTTTTTTGGGAGTTTTTTGATTACCAATTCAATCTGGTTGCTGGTAATTGGTCTGTTGAGATTTTCTGTTTCTTCCTGGGTCAGTCTTGGGGGCTTGTATTTTTCTAGGAATTTGTTCATTTTTTGTAGGTTGTCCAGTTCATTGGCATATAATTTTTCATAGTATTCTGTAATAATTCTTTGTATTTTTGTGGTATCCATTGTGACTATTCCTTCTTTTCTGATTTTGTTTATTTGCAAACTTTTTTTTTCTTTATAATAGTTTATCTATTTTGTTTATTTTCTCAAAGAACCATTTCTTAGTTTCATTAATTTTTTTCTATTGTTTTATTCTTCTCTATATTATTTATTTCTGCTCTGATTTTTATTATATCCCTCCCTCTGCTGACTTTGGGTTTCATTTGTTCTTCTTTTTCTAGTTTCTTAATTGTGATTTTTGGACTGTTTATTTGGGGATTGTTCTTGTTTCTTGAGGTAGGCCTGTATTGCTATTTACTTCCCTCTTAGAATGGCCTTTGTGACATCCCACAAATATT